CAAGACCTCCTATTTACAGCCTATGCTTGAATCTACTCTAGGGAAGAAAAATCGTTTATGTTCTTAGCTAAGATTTAAAGCATTCTACTGCCCCAGCAGCTCCGTGCGAGGTCTGGCAATGTGCAAAATGTTGTGATTGTGTTTCAGATAAAATACACACTTGCCAAAGAATATACGGACTTCCTAATTCACAATATTGTTTTTTTCCTTTGCTCTGCTGCTTTGATATCTAAGGAATAAAAAAAAATCACCTGCCCTTGTCCCCAAACCCGCCGTCTCCTTTGCAACATCATCAATCAGTGTTTCTAATCTTATGGAAATTTGCAATTTCAATCCTGATCCCCTAAATCAACCCAGGAATGCTTCCGACAACCTCAAAGCCATCTCCCTCACCCTTACTCATGCACAGTCCTTGAGAGGATAAATATAAGGAGTTTTTTGTCTGCCATATTAGATATTCAAAGGAGTGGAGTAGGACTGAAAGTGGTGTAGGAAGTTATTTTCAGATTTTCCATCGTGTTGTTTTGTTATTAGTATTTTAAATACATACCTCTTAAGCAGACATTTTACTGTATTTCCACAACAAAAAAGCCTACTTCATGTTATTATTTTGCCTGGATGTATTTTGCAATTTGTAATTATTTTCACTAGGGGATTTAGCACAGGCTCTTGTTCATGTCATAGCCATAAACAATAAGATGAGAAAAATTGCCTCCAAGTAAGATGTTGAACACGACAATATAGCTTTTTGCACTTTGGTTAGCAGGAAATTAAATGAAGTACAAGGTAATCATAAGGAAACTTCACTTGGGGTATGCTATACCCCACCACACCAATACAGAGTTAAAGAAGCTCTGTTGTCCACTACTTCTCCAACCTAAACAACTAATTCAACCCAAATGCAGACAGGCGACTAGGAGAAATAACCATAATAAGTGATAGATGATATATATTCTAATTCTTCAGTCGTTCAATAAAAAAAAAGAAAAAAAATCCCCTGGAATCTCAGAGTACACAATAAAATGAATCCCCATCAACATCTGCACTAAGAGAATTAAATAGCTATTAGGAAGTGCATATTAATTTGAATTAAATAGATTACTCAGTAAGGGAAATAGAGAAAATGACATCATTAGTTGTGCTTCTTTTTGAAGTCATTGTAAGTGAAGATCTCAAATGCGTCTCTGAAAAATATATACATTTCCAGGAAAGAAGATTAATATGCGACATAGACTGTATACATTTGATGCATCTGTGAAAAATTACGTGCAATACTGATGACTTCCATACTACCTATCAGTTAATACGCAGCCCTCCCTGTCATGCGTTTACTCAGACTGTGAAATACTCAAATCAGAAAGACTACAGAAGAGAACTTTGTGTGTCGTAATTAAAACAAACTACACATCCCCCCCTACGAAATCAGATGGAATCTTTAATCCCTAATGGACGGTTATACTATAATCTGTATCACAGCCAGCGACATGTAGACAAAATTTATGCAGTGCTCTTTTTGGCTTAAATGATCTTTCGGATGTTACACCGGTTTAAAATGATGGATGATGAAATATGCTGTGTCATTTAGGCCTTACCATTTTCTCTGCAATAAGCTTGAGAGAAATGTTGTCTATCCACTTTTGCCATATCTCAAAGGTGAAACCCGTTCTCACCGATGGCATGAGTAAGTTTTACATATTCTATAAACAGAAAATATCATTCTTTGTGTATAAGCAAATTATCACTATTCAATTGTGAAAATACTATCATATCTACTATCAAAAATGCACACACACAAACACACAACCATACATACACACACACACTCACACGCACACGCACACGCACACGCGCACACACACACACACACACACACGCACACACACACACACACACACACACACACACTCACACACACACACACACACTCACACACACACACACTCATACTCACACACACACACACACACAATCATACATACACACTCACATGCCCACGCACACGCACACCCACACACACACACACGCACACGCACACACACACACACACACACAAACACAAACACACACAACACATTAACGCACAAACACAACTCTAATGCACGCAAAGAAACATACGCACACGTTCTCAAAATATATTTCATTTTTATGTCATGTATCATTACTTGGAGTAGTTCAGTGAAAGGGATGACAGGCAAAAAAGAGAGAGAATGACAACTTACACTGACTCGAAGCATGTTCAGCATTTATTATGGACGATACTGTCTTTCGAGTATTCATTCAATATTTCTTTAATAATTCGTGTCTGCATGGCTATACATCATCATTATCATACTTATCAACATTATCATTTTCATAAAAAAACGATTAATATAAGTTGTGCTAAAGAAGACAGAGAGTTGGGCTTACAGAATTGAGAAATGTGTGGTTTATGCTCCACCTGAGGGACTACATGAATATTGGAAGGTTTCGTCGCTTCCTCACATCAGGTATTCAAGTATCCCAATTATCCCAGTAAAAAAAGCAGATACAAAAATAATAGGATATACCTCAATACATCAAATGTGCATCATCAGTACCATGGCCAACGTAAATTTAATATAATATGTAAGAAAAAAGTATAAATAAAAATAAATAACTGAACTAACCAAGATATTTAAAACAGCCGTGTTTCAGTGTTATATCTTCATCCGAACTTTACAAATATAAGCCAGATTACGAATCTTGGATACTGCATATCCTTTACGAGCTGAAAAGTCACCTAACGCCCATGGTCTGTCGCTGATTTTCTACATCAACACTGTAATAACTGCTTAAAGTAGAACTGGCAGATGCACAATGAAGAACTCAGGTGACATTGCATATGATGATATCTGAAGTTTCTTTAATGAAAGAGTATTCCAAGCATATCTACTTTGTTCAGTGTGTATACTGTTGTTTTTGTAAATATTTTCAAAATCAGTGTGATGATTTGCATTGAAAATTAATTAAGAAAATAAAACAATCTTAGTGAGAAATCTTAGACCTTCAGATAGTTGCTCGAGAGGGTGGAGGGCGATTTCTCCCTGCCTCCCTGACCCCTGATAGAGGGGGCCCTCAAATGAAGCTTAGCAAGAAGAAACCTTGTACATTTCCAAAAAATTACTGATACAATTAATTACTTCTTCATTAAATTTCATAATATTGCTGATTTTTTTCTAGTCAGTGCAAACTCCATATTCATGAAATATTTTTTGTTAATTCTGTGGAATTTTATATTTGTACAAGCAAAAAACTGTGTTCAAATTAGTTTATTTTTATTTTGCCATATATATATTCATTAAGCCTAAAGAGCCCGTCAATGGACCTAGCTCCCGAGCCTCCAGCTGTCTAGCTACGTGTCTCATGTTAGCAGCTTCAGAATCCGACAGAGAGGAACTTCAGTTTAAAAATAATGTATCTTGTTATTTTCTTAGTAAGTGGCATTTTAAATCTAGAAATGTAAGGTAATAAGAATATATTTACAAAAATAAAGCATATTAACTGAATCAATAATAGAAAGGCAACTCATTCAATAAAAATCTCACCAACAAGGATTTCAATTCCAGACGCTCAGACGATGTCATGCAGACTGGAATATTGAAGTGGGATTCTTTCAAGCGTGATATAAATCGTCGAAATATGAAAAATCGGAATTCTGTTTGGACGCAGCTGTTCAATATTCATTATTTAACAACTCCATTCTTATAAGCTGTCACAGCCAATATGCATGAAACAGTGGCATATTTACGTACAAACGTGTATAAGCACATACTCACCTTCACACAATTATGTATCGGAACACAAAGAAACACACACGAATTTACAGGGACACATACATACACACAGACACGAATGCGGAGCTTGCTGCAATTCTGTCGCAGGCTTTTCTTGTGTATCCTCAGGTAAAATCATTTAACTGGGCGTCCTTTAGAGACAGGGAAGATTTTTAATCCCTGGTGCGTGTCGGAAAAAAAGTGGTGATCCAGTAGCGAGTTCACGGTAACAGTAACAGTTTAAAAAGGGTATAGATGAGAAGGATTAACTTCTCAAAGCTAGTATGTTCATATTACATCATTATTTTTCGAAAAAATAGGAAGAAAACAAACAAACTTACGAGAAGGGTAACGACGATAAATTGATCTCTCTCTCTCTCTCTCTCTCTCTCACTCTCTCTCATGTGTATATATATATATATATAGATAGATAGATAGATAGATAGATACATACATACATACATATATACATACATACATACATACATACATATATACATACATACATACATAGATACATACATAGATATATATATAGATATATGTATGTATGTATGTATATTTATATATATATATATATATGAATGTATGTATATTTACATACATGTATGTATATATGTATATATAAGATACATATTCATAAATACATACATATATATATACATATATATATATACATATATGTATATATATATATATATATACATATATATATATATATATATATGTATATATATATATATATATATATACATATATATATATATATATATATATATATATATATATATATATATATATATATATATATATATATATATATATATATATGCGTGTGTGTGTGTGTGTGTCTGTTTATTTATACCCGGCACCAAGGGGATATATATATATATACATATATATATTTATATATATACATATATAAATATACATATATATATATATATATATATATATATATATATATATATATATATATAATAGATTTAAATACACACGCACACACACTGACACACACACACACGCATACATATATGTGTGTGTGTGTATGTGTGTGTAAATCTCTCTCTCTCTCTCTCTCTCTCTCTCTCTCTCTCTCTCTCTCTCTCTCTCTCTCTCTCTCTCTCTCTCTCTCTCTCACACACACTCTCTCTCTCTCTCTCTCTCTCTCTCTCTCTCTCTCTCTCTCTCTCTATATATATATATATA